GACCTCATTCTGACGGGGATGAATCTAGATGATGTTGATTCTACAGCTGCAGTACGATATATTAATGAGTATGCCACATTATATTGTCATGACTAATTAAATAGCTCCGCTATTATGAGAAACCGAGTATTTCAAAATAGAATATACAAATCTTCACATTTGTTATAGTAAATCAAATTGCATCAAGCATGATATTTCACGCCAATGTTTTTACAACAACATTTCATATCGATCCTCTTGAATGCTTTCGCATACTAATTCTTTTACAATGCAAACAATTAAGAACCCTGCAGAACTGTGGAGCACTGAAATAGTTTTAGACATGATAGTCTTTTTTACTTTTTAACTGTTTTTTTTCTTGCTGCATGGCACAAAGGCCTTGGCAAATGAATTAACAAAGGCGATTTCATAACGAGTTTGAGTTATCCATTTTATGTATATTATTAGTTCCGAATGCACGCTTTGCAATCTCTGTACATTTTTTAACTGACTAGAAGCTGAAGCCAAAAAATGTATGACTATCCTGAGTCAAGACTTTAGAACAAAAATTAGAAAAAAATATAACTCAGTACTCACTGCAGTGAGTGACAGAGCGCATTTTCTCGTCGACGAAAACGTGATGTGACAGACGGACATGACGAGCACAATAGCACCTTTCTCCATAAATGAGAAGGAAATAATCAAATTCAAAGGAATAAATTCATCTTTAAAAAAGTAGGAGACGTCAAATTCCCTCAGAAAATGTAGCATCATCAATATTGGCCCTCTTACAGTTTCACGCAGCTACTCACCGCAATACTCGCAAGTAAACGCGTCTATGATCCTAGAGTAAATTGTGGGAAATGCTTTCATAAAGATTCATGAAATGCAAGTCATTATAAGCGCTCATGTTTATAATACATATAAAGAATAATTGGTTTCACATAATCTGGGTGGATGAGATTGCTTTCTAAACGATCACATTAAAATAACATTCAGCTCAATTAATCGATTTCAGACGGAATTACAATCACAGCGTCCGCCGACATTAACGGTAAATACACGTAACCGCTATTTAAACGAGAAGTACAGACGATAGCTTCTGAGTCCTCACATCATTTCATACGTCGAATATTAAGAGAGCAACGGGTAGAATATAAAGATAAGAAGCAAACATCTCCTTGTATTCGTTATTCGCTACACAAACCTGTTTTGACTCGTGTTAATTAACGGTATTATCTGTAAATAATGAGCTCAGGAATCAAGCCTTTAATTGGCTGAGAACAAATACGAGGAGAGGTCCAACGAAGATGTCCTGGCATCCAGGAGGTCCCGTCAATTAGGCGCCGATCGCTTCCTTCATTCGCCGGCAAACACGAGGTGTTTGCTCTGCAAATTTGTTGCTAGCGGACTAACTCATCCTTCACTACAGAATTTGATTGTACATTTAATGTGCTTGCGCATTCAAGTTGCATGCAAGACTTGCAGTAGGCTACCATTTTCCTATTCACGGAATGGTTCCACTTGAATTGTTTCCTAAATAATTAGTAGACTACAAGACAGCACACCAGAATAGGAGATTGATTGCTCCTACGAAACATCAAATTAAAATGAAGAATTTTTATTGTTCTTATGAGAGCTTGGAAGCATTCAATGATGCAAGGATTTGATGTTTTGTATAAAGTCTTGCATGAAATCTGGGCTTCGTTCTTCCGGAAAAAAAAGAATGTAAAGAGAGGTCTCATCCAATTATAGGGAGCATTGAAGCAACTCATGTGATGGGCTAAACGCTTTAGATGCCTCGTCCAGGTGGCTAGACTACAATTGAATCTCGTCAAAAACAAAGTGACGTCATCTTGTTGCTGCATCAGCGCAACTATATCAAGGCTCCTGTCCTCGATCTCGTCCAGTGCAACTTTTGGCCACCGTAGTGTGAGAAATCATTCGTCGGCACACTTGCCTCGACAAGCACTCAGCACTCACCTTGAGCCCATGCTGCTCAGCACTCAGCTGACATGCCCTGAACAATCAACCGTCGGAGCACAGAGCACATGCTGCTCAGCACTCGGCTGACATGCCCTGAACAATCAACCGTCGGAGCACAGAGCCCATGCTGCTCAGCACTCAGCTGACATGCCCTGAACAATCAACCGTCGGAGCACAGAGCCCATGCTGCTCAGCACTCAGCTGACATGCCCTGAACAATCAACCGTCGGAGCACAGAGCCCATGTTGCTCAGCACTCAGCTGACATGCCCTGAACAATCAACCGTCGGAGCACAGAGCACATGTTGATCAGCACTCAGTTGACATACCCTGAACAATCAACCGTCGGGGCACAGAGCACATGCTGCTCAGCACTCATCTGACGTACCCTGAACAGTCAACCGTCGGAGCACAGAGCACATGCTGCTCAGCATTCAACTGACATGCCCTGAACAATCAACCGTCGGAGCACAGAGCACATGCTGCTCAGCACTCGGCTGACGTACTCTGGGCAATCAGTTGTCAGTACACCGAGCCCAGCAGTCGCTCAACATGTCTCAGTTAATTAACTATTGCGAGGTGTAGTGTGACAGGACAGACCCTCTAGAACGCCCCATGGCAGCTGATTGCTTTTGCCGTCGCCTTATTGCAAACAATTGGAAGCCAAGCCTCCACTTCAGCTAAGCAATAAAAAAACGGTTTTTAATTCATGAGCAGACATGTCACTCACCTTTCAGACCAGGTCCAGTAGCTAACAATGTCCAGAAAACAAGTCAAGAAAATCACAAGAATCTACGACCGACTAGACCTGGCTTATCATCGACAGTGACACACCATTGTATAATATGAACGTTATAGTTTCCGAAAAGAACCATACGAATAAATTTTCTCTTGTGTAATGACATTAATGTTTATTGATATGATTGCAGTCGAAACAATCGTGGAGAAGTTTTGTATAAGAGTATTTATGTTCATACTTAAATACGATCCGATTTCTGCCCTTCATCAAACGATGATCAATAATTAACTTATAATACTAAACACATTTTCTCAAATCCGGCCATATCGAATCGACACATTAATATGAGTGCCTTATGAACGCAAGTTCCATTTCCTGTCTTATTTGTTCCTACAATCATGCATAAAAGTACACTAATTGAAATGAAAGTCTGAACTAGCAACATGTATGTAATCAACAATAAAATAATTCTAAAGATTAATTTTCTTATATTTGTACCTGACTTTCGACTAAGAGAAAACCATTCGCTAGTCAGCAAATAGCCATTTCATTCGAACGATATTCCTTAACAATATCTATGGGCTTCATTGACGTAATATCTTACTTCACAGCCAATCGCGGGTATGTTATACTGAATTCAAGATACCCGCATCAACGCGTTTAACTGCCATACACAGATAATTATAAGCTAGATCACGATCAGCGGCCTAATCAATTTCCAATTATTGCACTTTCAAGTACGTAAAATATTATACGACTACCATTCTGCAAACGAACATAGCTACCTAGTATAATGTACATATTTACACGCATGTGTTGCAGAAGTCAATGTCGCTCGAAAATGAAGCTTCCAATAACGCAAGAAATTATACGGAGATACCAAGCTATACAAATAACCGTCGTACTTCATGATTCGAACATCAATTAGCTTGAGCACTTCTATATTTAAAAACATCTACAACTGCCAATCTTGTCCTCCGAAGCAAAGGCGGTCTCTTAATTCGAACGCAAACACTGACGCCGTTAATCCGTCAGCCGCTTGCAGTTCTCCGACATGAACACCTCTCTCTCTGTTGTGCATTACTTCCTGTGCAGTGTACATCCTCTCATGATTCCAAGAATGTTTTGCGACTGGCAGCTGCTGAAGCCAGTAGTGAGTGGCGGTCAGTGAACTAGAACATGCTTGATAGTTTTGCAGGCGATACGGCCGATAATTAGTCACGTGACCTGCTCTAGCCTGCCTGTGAATAGATACAGCAAAAATGTACATTGAGTAAGTTTTAGACCATACAAAAACTTTGTAGTAATTTTAATACCTAACAAAATCTGGTTAATTTATGGTTCAATATTCCACTTCAAATAAACCATGTCTGTAGACCACGACAGATGAAGTCTTTATTTATTTTGGGTTTTCCTAGCGGTTATGACGGCTCAAATCGGTCTCAGCAAAACAATACCTAACCCGCATCCGAATGCATTGAAGTATGAACGATGATCTGAACATGAATGTTATATAAGTAAGATGTAAAACGGAAACTATTTCTCCCTCTCGCTAAAAATGTTCAATATAACCTGCACGTAAAAGATTGCATGTAAAAAATGCAATAAGTAAAATTCAATGGGCGATGAAGCAAAATGGTCGAACAGAGCAGAACTTCGACGGGGGTTCGGCGACGGCGACACGGAATGGGCGTTCCGAGGGTCCGGAGCGGTCGTGTTTCGGCGTGACGGACGCTACGCAAACTTACAAGCCAATCTGGCACCAGAAACTGGCCCTTTAAATGGCCTCACGCAATTTACTCAGGCCCTAGCTTACCTTTAATATAGAAATTCACTTCTAACGATCACTTTGGACTGTTTGAGAGCCCGCTTCAACGAATTGAGAGCAATCTGAGTACACCTTCAGCCATTGGTTTTAAAAAAAAATTTAATGTTATGCAGCCAATGCAAAGTGCGGTATAATTCTACGTAAAGTCGTAAACGATCAAAAGTCTGCTGATAAGTCTAATACCAAAACATTTTCAGCGAATATCTCTGCAATTAATGCAAATTAGATTTTTTTCAAACCGAGTTAGTGAAAAGATCTAAACTTATGTATCATTTCGGTACCACTTTCAAGACAAACGATATGCAAGGCAGCCATACGAGCCGAGCAACCACATTCAGGGGATCCTTATAAACTGAGCAATTCTATATACAAATGCTCCAAGAAATATTTAACGCGAAATATCAACTCGAACTTGAGACTTTGCACACTTTTGACTGATCAAGGAAATTGATGTAATCAAAGGTACAAAAAGAAGTCTTGAAGTGTATTTGCCCAACACTTAAGATACTATTTACTATTGACTACTCAACAATGAAACCAAGATAAGCGACATAAAATATTTTCCGCGTACGAAGTAAATCAACAATAAAACTTGGAAAACTTCATGTCCGTCGTGCATTTAAAAAATCTTAACGTTATTCATACTCCAAGTGGTTACTAATCACATTAAAAATGTAAAATCCTCAATCAAATGCAAAAGGGAGGATGTTGTCTCTTATTTTGAACATGCCAGTTCAAAATAATCAATTGGAAGCGCACAGCCTGCATTTTATTCTTTGATCATATCATGCTAAAGCTGTACAATAAATCATTCATTGTTTGATTATATCATTCTAAAGCTGTATAATAAATCATTCATTGTTTGAAAATATCATTCTAAAGCTGTACAATTAATCATTCATTGTTTGATCAAATCATGCTAAAGCTGTACAATAAATCATTCATCGTTTGATCATATCATTCTAAAGCTGTACAATAAATCATTCATTGTTTGATAATATCATTCTAAAGCTCTACAATATATCATCACATTTCAACATCATAGAAGCGAAGGCAGTGACGAGTCGGGATATTGCAGGAGCAAAACTATGTTCAGTTTGCACTATGTTTTTTAATAAATCTTTGATTTATTTATTGACAGTGAAATTTGATGAGGAGCAAAACATGTGTCGGTTATTTGAGATAAATCATACACCACTGAAAGTAAAAGCAAATTTATCAAATCAAAAATTAATCTCGAGCCTTAGAATGACAGGAAATAAATTTTTTAAATGATTTCCTCACGGTTTTGAGTTATCAGACAGCCTGAAGCCGTCTGGTCCGGTTTAAACGAAAAAAAAAAAAGCAATCCGGTCTAAACGCCCTTATTGAAGCATACTGACCGTAGCAAGGTGGTCTATAAGTTAACATGATCACGAAACTAACTAAAATAAATTGAAACTAAAAAACTAAATCAACAAAGGAGGAGAGTGACTAGAAAGTCGGTGAGAAGCAAATGGTAAGGGAAGCAGAATTTTAGAACACAGCACCAAAACTCAGAATAAACGGAACGTGAATTAATAACACATGTTTTCTAAAGTTTGAAGCAAATTCAACAAAATCAAAGATAATTTCATTTGAGAAACTCGAGCAGATCTCCCAGCGAAGGCAAGTAGTACTGGGGCACTTGGTCGTTGAGACTTGGGTCGTCGACCATTTTCTGGACGTCGTCTAGCTTATGCACGCCCGTGAGCACGAGCAGCGTGTGTAACCCGCACTTGGTGCCCAGCAGAATGTCGGTGTTGCACCTGACCGCAAAGAAACGTTCTCATAGTTTGGTTAGACAAGAGGGGCAGAGGCTCCGAGCTGCTCCTTAAAATGCCACAACTACCAGAAACGTGTGACATGGGGAAATGGTAAAATTGAGATAGAATTTTGACAAGGAAGACAGGAAGCAGTCGAAATTTGAACACTGACAAACGTCTAACCAAAAATGGGCATCACAGTAACATTCAATGGAATAAAGAGACAATTAGGAAGCAAAATATGCCATCAGTTACTCATTGTGTGTAATTGCTTCGATTCAATGACTAATGAGATACAACATAGTTTTCGAGATGGGCATGATGAAGGCTAATCTTAGTGTAAACAATGATTGGAAAAAATTGAACCAGCCGTTCTTTAGTAAATATCTCGTGATCAAACAAAATTTTCCTATCATTGCTCAAACCACTCACAAAATATAGGTTAAAGCACTCACCGATCACCAACCATGATGGTTCTCTGAGGCTTGATGTGGTGGCGCTTCCTGAGCACCTCAAACATGTGCGGCTCAGGCTTACCCATCACTTGCGCGGCGTGCCCTACGGCACACTCTACAGATCGCACGAAACACCCAGTCCCTTAAACATAAAAAGAGATAAAAGTAGCAACGAAAACGCCAGTTATAATTATTCAAGCCCAGGACAGATTCAGAAAAGATAACCTAATTTTTAATTTCAATCCTAATCAAGTTATTAAACGAGGTCATTACGGACGTTTCTAGTGACAATTTTAAAATGGATAAAGAAACAAAACAAACGAATGAATAACTATCACAGGAAAAGACTACTAAAACATGACCAATTACCTGGATAGGTTAAATTTGATCCTTTAAAAGGGAAGCTTTCATCTGTGTTGGAGGCCAGAAACAGGCATCCAGGGACAGACTTGACATAAGATGCTGCCCTCAAGATCTTAGGCAGGCAGAAATATGGATCGAAGGCCACGACAACAGCAGCAACTTCAGGGTCCAACACAACTAAGTCGATCATTTCAAACGTTTTCCCAAACAGAGGATCTGGCTGAGAGTAGGCTTGCTAAGTTACATTTACCAATTGAACGCAGTGAAATAACATTTTTGAGACATTTAACATTCATGGTTAACATTTGTGATAACAATTGACCATGAAAAATTATCACAAATTGTTAATGTGTGAGAAATATTTTATAAGCTTGATGGATTGAAGAGCAGAATTTTCACTTTCTTATATAATTTCCATCAGCAAGATCATAAAAAAATATAACTCAGTAGTCACTGAAGTGAGTGACAGAGAGCGCATTTTCTCGTTGACGAAAACTTGAGGTCACGGACAGACGGACATGGCGAGCACAATAGTGAATTTTTTTCATAAATGAGAAAATGCACTAAAAAATATGAAATTGAGTCACTATTTAGTTACAAACCCCAAGTCCAACATGCTTCACACCAACAGCATCAAGTTCTTTGGCCAGGCCAGTTGTTCCCATCATGTAAACCTTCTTCTCAAATCCCAGCTGCTGCAGGTGAAGAGCGAGGACATATGCTGAACTTACAATGTTTTCCTGTTGGAATGAAATAAACAATTACTAAATGGAAACAAGGAAATATATTTTATTGAATAATATGTTTACAGTTTTTCAACAACAGTTTTTGAGAAACTTTTCTCACATTTTTCAAACTTTTCCCACCCCATCAGGTACATTCCTTTGTGGCATAGCTACTTGGGGTAGGTACCGATTTATTTGCACATACAATAGCCTTGCAATAAAACAACAATGAAACAATATCTTACAGTCAAAAACCTTTACCAGAGTAAATATTGAGATGCAGGTTTGGAACACATTGAACTTTTGTTCAACCTAAGTACCTATATTATATGATCAACCCAAGTGTACCAAATTGAGCATTAAAACATTAGGTACATACCTTGGTAACATTAAATCCCAATTTTACACACTTCTCAACATAATCATCTCTACTTTTAGTGGAGTTGTTGGTGAGCAGGAAAACTTGCTTGCCAAGGGAGATGAGTTTGTTGATAACAATGTTAGCATTGTTGAGAACTGTATCTCCAGACCATAACACTCCTAGGCAAAGGTACAAATTTATCAGAACAAGAGAAGAACTGTTTAAGGCTAAACCGACAATAACCAATTTATGATATGTATTGAAAGCCTTTAATTTAAATATAATCTGAAGACAATCTTTTTCCAGTTAGGTATATGTTTTGACAAAGTCATGGCTACATTTAGATGAGCAAATTTTTGGACTGGTTGGAGTAATCTTGAAGATATTCTGATTCTATATTTCCATGAACAAAGAGCTTATTCAAGATCACTCATAGATAATTTCTATGCCTATGGATGAGTAGATAGACAAGGAAAATTATAATCTCAATTATATACATACTGCATTAACAGCATTCAAGGTAACCCATCTCTAATTAGGCATTTGCTTGTGAATATCTGCTGAACTTACACAAACTATTTAAAACAAGGAAATTTTTTTGAAGAAATAGGTTTTTCGTGATTCTTTTTCAATCATGATTCCAAGTTATGACAATTTATATTACCATATATTATATTTATAACTGGGCCAAACTTGAAAAAATTATGTAGGATGATATGGACCAAAACTTGGCAAATGAGTTTGCAGCTCCAATATTTCTTCATGGATTATAAGTTACTAAAATTAAGTTATTTTTTGAGTTGCAGCTTGGCAAATAGATATTTACCGTATGTGTATTACCTACTGTCAAACGAGGCAATAAGGGACAGTTTTGAGCATTTTTCCTTAATAACTTCTTACCATGGAACATTTCATAAACGAGTTTGAGCTCATTTTAGAGGTATTTGCAAGGGCTATCGTATGGTATGTATCTTTGAAAAAATTCCAGATGTTATTTGTAAGGTGCCAGATGCAAAATAATATCCTCCTGAACCAACCCTGGGAATGGGGTAATAAGGGACACTTGAAATAAAACTCAATTTCAAAACATTTGAAGCATGCAGAGTGTGCTCATCTATTACTAACAGTACTTTGAAGTCCTCCTCTTCTTTATAGATGATGTAAATGTTGAATAAATGAAATTTTCTGTGATTTTTCCTTTATTGATATGATATTACCTCACCCATACATTACCATACGGTATTATTTACGTGATATTACCTAATCCATGGATATGCTATTGAGCATTGACAACAACCTAGTCCACTGCAAGCTTCATATCAGCAGCCATGTAGCATTTCTTCTGTAAGTAAGCTTACAGGATGGCTTGTAATATCACATCATTTAAATTTAGTCAAGTGAATTCACTACGATAAAAAAAGATCATAAAAAACATACCGTACCTGAAACAGAAAGGAATATTTTAGTGACAACCATCATTTTTTTTGCCACTATTTTTTGTTTTGCAATATTTTTAATTAGTTTAGCTGCTACAACATTTCTACGAAATGTTGGAGGCCTGTCTCTATTACCCCACCTGTCCCCCAGGGCGCAGAGGGTGGATGCAGCGTCGCCAATATATGGGTTTTTAAGCCCTAAGCGTCGCCGGGTAATTTTAAGATGCGTCGCCGGGTAATTTTTAATGAAAATCCATTTACGCTGAGTAATGAAAAACTATTTACAAGTCATGAACTTATTTACAAGGTTGCATGCACCGTGATGCACATGTTACCCCAAATAACTAATTTCTTCTAAAAACAGTCCGATTGTACAGCAAGTGTCAACTGAACATGTGATAATGCAGTCTGACTGCCCTATTTTCTAATGTGACCGCAACTACGTAATTGTAAGCTTGATGTTTACATTTTTTTGGCGGGAACTCATCGCAACTGATTTCCGGACAAGCTTCACTGCATCGTGATCCATCCAACATATCGGAAACCTTACTTTTTTTAAATAGTTGACCAAAGACTGACAAATATATTAAATGTAAAAATTTCAATCTAAATGTGTCTGCATGATCTTCTGAAGGCATAAATTTTGCTACTGAAGCATTGCCAAAGATTTTGCAATATTCATCCACTCTCTGCACAGTGGCAGGTGGCCTGTCCCTTATTACCCTGTTTGATGGTATATACTACACCCATAGCATAGGATCAAAAGCCAAACAGGCTTTACCAGTTGGTTAAGAGAACAAAAATTAAAAAGTAGTCATTTAGTCTACCCAGCAACACTTTTTGAAATAAATATTTTTATTATAAAAATTTCAAAAAACATCATTGCCTACCCCACCCAAGCTAAGTAAAATATTCTCAAGACTCAAGTAACAATGCATTTATACATATTAGTGTCTTACCATCACAGTCTGTCATAAATGCATCAAAGCTGTCCAGAAATTGGCCAACATTGCTTTCAGAAACAAGTTCAGGCATTGAAGCCATTGTAGATTGTAGCCTGTAGCTGTGGCCTGTGGATGGAATTCTAGAAATGATGTTATTATTTTATTTTCAATCCACCTTGGCTGGTTTTTCTGTACAAAATTTTAGTTAAGATAGAATCATAGAAAGGAATTAAAATAGGAGGAATGAAAATTGCACTACTGCCACTACAAATAAAAACGATAAAACACTTAGATTCTAACTAGACAATGTAATAAATATTACTTCATTGACAATTTGTCTAAGTTGAACACAAAAAATTAACCTAGATGAAGTAATAACATTGCGCGTTCATGGCAAAAGTATGCATGCAATGCAACTAGCCCATGTGATAGGCGGCATAGGCCTATATGCAATATGGATCCCACTCCCAGATTCCAGAATCCAGCAACAATGCAGTGCAGCAGCAATGCACATCATGATATCAATAAACTGTTTCCAAGTGTTTTATACGACATACAAACATTACCTCTAAATTTTTTCAAAAATATTGGTTGAAATAATTAATAACTAAGTGAGGGGGGCTGATTGAGGAAGCCTCATTTGGCAATCTCTTTCCCTTGTTTGCAATCATATTAAACCAAAATGATCATGTCATTTAGCTATTCATGTGAAATGGTGTTAAGTGTTAACAATATATTTAGTTCAAGGTAGCCTAATTAGCCCAACCTTTTTCACAATTTCTGATGAACAGATGAAGGTTTTAAATATTTCTTTTACATTTAAATAATGAAACAAATTTTCTCCTTACTGCTCTCAGCTCTTTTAATGATCCCACTCTTATAGCCAAATATTTTAAATTCAAGTTGTAGCCACTCTAGCCAGTGGCGAGTGCCGAGTGGCCAGTGCCAGTAAGCCGTAACTCTGTAAGGCAGTCTAGGCACTAGGCAGACAATGATAGGCCATAAAATGTCAGGCTACTTTCCTATGATCTCACGGGTCTGATTGATCTACCTAATTCAACGGATGTGATCCGTCTGGACTCTGGATCGTCGGGTGGCTTGCAGCTGGAAATGTTACAGTCAACTGAGTCAAGAAGTATTAAAGGCTGCCTACAACTTCACAAGCAGCGGTGATCTAGGGCTTCTAGGCTACGCGCTACGACACCGCGACCGGAGCCTCGGGCGACACCGACAGACATCGCAAACAACTGACCAAAGACCCAGTCACCTAGACCCGGACTGGTCAGCCGGATCAGGGTTAGGGAAAATAAAAGGCTTCAAATCATGTTATCTTCCGACCAATCGTTGAAAATTTTTGCACATCCAATTTAATTAAAAAATTTCCGTCTGACCAGAACATGGGTTTTTTATTCGAACTTATCGATGTAGAATGTCTTGAAACGCTCATAAACATAAAACATTTTCATTAAATTTTCACCAATTTACTTTAAAAAGTGTCAGGTCTGATCGGGACCCCTGAGGACCCCGGACGGGTGCGCAGCCGTAGACCAGCAAATTAACAATCTTTATTTTTTATTTATTTTAAAGTTTATGGGAGCCTCTGAATACTAGTTCAATGTGGCCCCATGACAGGACGGTTTAAGGAAATTACGGTGTTAGTAAGGAAAAATTAGGTTCAGCAACAAATTTAGGTGTTCTGAAGAGTTGTCCATGTTTCCCGACGGCTGAATGACTGCAGAATTGGGCCGCCAAAGTGGAGACCACACCGGGGTGGAAAATCCCACGCCAGGGCAGAGGGCCCCACTCCAGGGCAGAGAGTCCCACTCCAGGGCAGAGAGTCCCACTCCAGGGCAGAGAGTCCCACTCCAGGGCAGAGAGTCCCACTCCAGGGCAGAAAGTCCCACTCCAGGGCAGAAAGCCCCACTCCAGGGCAGAGAGTCCCACTCCAGGGCAGAGAGTCCCACTCAAGGGCAGAGAGTCCCACTCCAGGGCAGAAAGTCCCACTCCAGGGCAGAAAGCCCCACNCTACATCATAGTGAAAAAAGACAGTAAGAAGCTAGTGAAAAAAGGTTAGTTTCTGCATGGAATAGGTGACAATTATGCAGATTGCAGACTTGCAGTTGCCGACGCCGAGTAGGTATGGCCGTAGTCACTAGTCACACAATTTAGTCAGTTAGCTATTCATGACCAACCACGTCCACCAAAGTCCAAAATCACACAAATTTCTTTTAATCACTTCTCACTCATGTCTCTTTCATTTACTTTTTTCTTTCATTTACATTTCATTTTCAACGGACCGAGCTCCTCACTTGACAGACGCGTGACAATTTTGGTATCATGTTATCTTCTATACAGTTTCTGGTCAGAATCGGCAAGGAGGCCGGGCGGTTAAGCACAGCAGAATTGTAGCAGTGCGTTGCGAGTTCGAGACCTCAAAATGCTGTGAATATTCTGCGATGTTAAGAATCGGCGACAGGCCTACGGCCTAATAAACGCTGAAACCGCTATTATTATTGCACCTTCCGCTTCAGCGGTCAGAACAGAACTCCAAATTAACAATCAAAATCAAATCAGCCCTGGAGCCAAAGTAACTAAAACCCGGACCCCGACCTATGTTTTCGAGTTTCAGAGATAAGCATGAATGAAATAATGAAAAAGTACCATGTGTGGTATATGTGAAATTCGAACATGACAGCGGACAACAGCGAACCAAAGGATAATTGAAACGAATTTCAAATTGAAATGTTTGAATTAACAAAATGCATATACAAATGAACGCTGAGACGGCCATTATTATATACGCTGAGACGGCCATTATACGTGTGTGACAGTATGTCACACACGTTGATCGTTGGTGATTTTAATCATCCAGAGCTAGACTGGACAGATGGATCCTCTCCATGGGATGAGAATAACCCAGCATCCTTGTTCATGGAGTCATTGAGAGACTCCTTCCTAGCCCAGCACGTTACTAAGCCAACCCATTATAGAAGAAAACAGACTCCCAATATTCTAGACCTGGTGTTTACTAATGATGAATCAATGTTAGATGAGCTTCGTCACGAGGCTCCATTGGGCAAAAGCCATCACCAATCATTGCTTTTCAGTCTAAAGTGTTGTACAGAGAAGACACCACGAAAGCGTGAGCGTTTGAATTTTGCGAAGGCGACTATGATAAACTCCGTGAGGCAGTGAATGCAGTGAATATTTCGAACAGTATTAAGGATATGAATGTGGCTGAGTCATGGTCATTTCTCAAGGACACGGTTATGTCTGCAGTTGATGCGTGTATACCTAAAATTAAGCTTGGTGGAGCCAAAAAGACTCAGTGGATGAACAGTACAGTTCTAGCTAAGCTTAAAACAAAGAAGGAAGCCTACCAGCGTTATTTACATACTCGTAGCGATGCTGACTATAACCTATACGCAAGAGCTCGAAATCAAGCTAAAGAAAGCTGTCGCACCGCAGTAAAACTATCGAAAAAATATTGCTAAAAAAGCAAAAAAGAACCCGAAAGCCTTCTTTTTGAACGCTAGCTCGAAGTGCAAGATGAAGGACGGTATTTCTGATTTGAAAGTAGATCAACGAAAGATATCCTCTGATGAGGGCAAGGCTAACGTTCTTAATCAGTTTTTCAGTAGCGTATTCACTGAAGAGGACTTGAACAGTATTCCAGCTATTGAGGAGTGCCCAGTCGGCTCTAAATTAACAAGTTTTGAAATACAAGAAGAAGAGGTTCTCAAGCGCCTTATCGCTCTAAATGTGGACCAAGCGCCTTATGTGGACCAGACGGCTTCTACCCCAGATTACTCAAAGAGTTAGCAACTGTCCTAGCCGGCCCTTTGACGTCATTTTTTCGAAAAACTTTGAACGAATGGATCTTGCCGGCTGACTGGAAAGAAGCTTAAGTGACACCGTTATTCAAAAAAGGCGACAAAAGCTGTCCGGGCAACTATCGCCCTGTCAGTTTGACAAGTGTCGTTTGCAAGGTAATGGAATCTGTTGTGAGGGATCGATTGATAGATCATTTGACTGATTACGGACCAGGCAATAAGTCCATCAGCTATCTCAATCAATCGTCAGCTATAGAAAGATCGGGTTCCAAAGGCCGGATCCCTTGTGAATTAAGTCACGAAAAATTCAAGAATCGGCAACAGGCCATAGGCCTATTTTTTCAGTGCCGACATTTCTTTTCTATTCTATGCTATTATCAATATTGTGAGATTTCATATGTTTATATTTTGGAGTTTGTAGAGTCGAAATTATGTTAGATATTTGATAGCCCATTATTTATTTGTTAGTTCTAAAATTTTCGAGTGTCGCCGCCCGTAGCTCTTATTTCCAGTCGGACTCGATTTTCACGATGGTAAAATTTTAACGTTGCAAGTGACAAATTAAATTCGATGGTCAACCTTAGGGAGCTTGAAAATTTCGAATGGAATAAAGAAATAATTAGTGTAAATCAGTATTGTATCCTCGACGACTGACTAATTATTATAACATGATATTTTGGAGTCAGATCAAAGCAGAAGAGTTAAACCCGTTGTGATACCACTTACAGGTATTTTTTCATGTTTCAGTTTGCTCACAGTTATTTTTATGTTTCACCTTCCCTACACGGATGTCTACTTTAATCTACCAATCTCAAAAATAATCCACATATATATATACAAATAAAATACTTATTTTTTATATGTATATGTGGATAATTTTTGTGATTGGTAGATTAAAGTAGACATCCATGTAGGGAAGGTAAAACATTAAAATAATTGTAACTTTTATTTACTGCATCTAACCCGTACTAGTTCGGTTAGGTTAATTGCAATAAAGTTGCATTGATATATTTTGAAAATGTTTCATTATCATTAAATGTTTATGAGTAAATCCCAATAGCAGAACAATAAATGTTTAGAGATTTCCAATAGTTTTGGCCATTGTAGCGGCTAATGTAGAGGCGCTACATTTTACTGTAGCGGTAGCGCTCGCTACAATCTAGTGGGTGTAGCGGTAGCGCTCGCTACAATCTAGTGTATGTAGCGGTAGCGGTAGCGCCCGCTACATTTAGAGCAGGGAGCGGTAGCGGTAGCGGCCGCTACATTTCAAAGTAGAGCTGCCCAGCTCTGAATATAACCAATTCCTTCATCTGATTATGACTTTAGATAGGAATAGTATCGTTAATGCATCGGTAGACAAGCGTTTAATTAATTGCAGTGTCTTAAATAATATTTAAATATCTTGCCAATCACTTGGCATGGATGTTGTTGGCGCTGCTGGGCTCGCACGGCAGCCACGCCTTCCTGAAGAGGTCCGTGTAGCGTTTGTGGATGCTCATCTTCTCTCTGCTTGCTGATGCCGTCGTAAACTCCGATTATCTGCACTAAATAAGTCTGCCTTCAGATACCTGTAACGCTTGGTAATTTAAGTATAGGCATATACACAGAACTTTTGATCATTTCCCACCAGACATCTGATGTTGATATATATCTGATCAAACGTCACTGCAACGAAATCAACCTGTTATCAATGCTAATTTTAGCGCCGTTTGACCGCACCCACTGCTCCAGCCAGTATTGTCTTCATGGAGGCTGCATCCCAGCTTGCGTGTACCTCCACACTCACTCCGAATCCCCACATTGCTACAGCCAATGGCCAGCTTCTGTCCTCCAGTTGCCCCGCTTCTCCACCCTGATGCAGCCAATGAGATTATGCTAGGTCCGAAAATGTTTGTTTGTGTGTAGATTCGAGGCAAGAGTAGAAGTAGGCGCATGCTAGGGTGCAACCTCCATGAAGACTATACTGGCTGGAGTAGCAGCTGCTAGCTTACGGTACCTGTGTCTCTAAGCGCTCAAATGCATAGGCTACTCAACTTAGTAGCTTGCTAGCGCACGAGAGAGAATATGAAAATGATCTATCTATACAAGCTCTATTTTTATACATAAAGAAACATAGTGATGTCCGCTGAAAAGTAGGTCTGATATGGCCTGTCGCCGATTCTTTTAGTTTTCGTGACTTGTTCACAGAAGATCAAAAAGCATGCCTTTTGACTGGATCTTTTCAAGACTGACGATAGTTTGAAATAACTACTAGACTTTCACCGGGTTCGATATGATGCTAGGCATTTCAAGTCTGAACATAAATTTTAACGCGTTTATACTCGGAGCGCTAACTAAGTAACGAGGAGGCTGTACCACATGTCGGTGATTCGAAGCAAAAATAAATTTTGCTTGGATGAGATGCAACAGTTTTTTAGTTTATAGTCGTGGCCCCTGGTATTGGTTCTTGTTTCAAATGCTAGTAATTCTTCTGGGACCTTGTATAAACCATGAGTATACTCGAATACTTCAATGAGGTCCCCACGCAGACGTCGATAACAGAGGCTTGGAAGCTTCGTAATCTTTAATCTTTCTTCATATGACTTGCCCTTCAAGCCTGGAATTATCATTGTCAGTGAATTATTATATCCAATCATCAATCACCTGATCAATAAATTCAACCGTAAAATTTCCATATAACTGACATTTGGCATATAAAAGACTTTGGCTTTAAAGTAAAGTCACTTGCTGCAGCTCTACTGATGACATTCACGGTTTTATGATTCTGCAAGCACACATCCAGGATTGTTTTCGACTTGCCGACTTAGTGCTTTCGTGTGACCGGTTGTAAGTTTGTTAACGATTGATTATAGACTTAAGTGTTGTTACTGGCCATATTGGACCTGTTGTGTGACGGATACATTTTTAACGCCTTTTTTTCTGAATACATTAATAAGTAAGAAACTTCACGAAGATGTCTGCTTCTAAATATATCGTGGCGGAGGATTCTGGTACATCTAAATGGAAATTGGCATTAGCTTTCGGAGGAGCTGCCTTCCTATGTGCAGGCATTTATTACAAATTTTATGCCAATTCTGAATCAACTAGAGACAAGAAACCACCAAAAAAGCCATCGAAGACCTCTGGCAGTTCTAAAGCAAAGAATGGCACTGCTAAATCCACTGTTGATGACCAAGTAAGTTGAAAATTATTTTTCCAAATTTTTTTTATAAGGAAACTGTGGTTTATGTTTATATACAAGAGTACATTAATAAGCGGTAGCTCCAGAATTGCATATAGGGTAAACGCAGTATATTCCAACATCATAGGTAATTCCGTCACCTCTCCCACACTCAGGATGATGTATGTTTTCGGTGAATTTTCCTGCGCATTTTCACTTTTTTTAAGCTATTGCTGATTTGCTGTGCACAGTTGGCGCAATGTAATGAAAATTGATTATCTTTGCGCACGTGTTTGCGCAATCGTGGCCATCTTTATTTTAGAAGAAATTTTGGTATTATTGCAGATTAACTACATCCAAAAAAAAGGGTGTTTTTTTTTGAATTATATGTTTTTTGGGGTGTAGATTACGCATAGTGGCAAAGCAGAGAGTTTTTTAGATTCTACCTCAAGTTCATTTTTGAGTCTTATAAGTAGACAAGCAAAGTATCATGGATACCAGCATTATAATACATAAGAAATAGGTGTAAATCTTGAGTAAATAAGGAAATTGAAAATGAACTGATTCTAAAAAATCTCTGGTTTGTCACTATGAGATTACGAATCTGAAATCCTTTTTTGGCGGTCGGCATCGGAAAACCGATTTTTTTCCGACCCAAAAATCGCGCTAAAAATGCCTAACCCGTTGCACTGCAACGGGTAAAGAAGACGAAAAAAATGGATTTCAGATTCGTAATCTACACCCCAAAAAACATATAATTAAAAAAAAAACACCCTTTTTTTTGGATGTAGTTAATCTGCAATAATACCGAAATTTTCTCCAAAGTCATATGGCAACACTGAACACCGTCTGTTTACATTTCATATGTATAACAGACGCAGTTTACGATTACCGTACGTTCTGTATCCGACAAGGCGGACAACCGGAAGGGTCAGAAGTAACCCGGACATGTCTTACATTTTATTATTGTCAGTTTGACTCGCGTAGTCAATATACTCGCGTAAGTCAATATACTCGCGTATATTGTCAACTAAAATAGTAGAACTATTTAAGCTTTCTAAAGTACGGCGCACGGCGCATTTTTTTACCAACGTAGTATGGCGCACCGCGCAGGTCGTTAAAATGACAAAATAAATTCCCGTGCACCTGGCACATCTTCCTGACCATGGCACCTCTCCAGCTTTTCCTTTATATTAAGCTTTGTTTTAGTTCCCATGCGTTTGTTGATGGTTGAAATGGTGACGTGAGACTGACGTCATACATTTGCCCGTCAAAATACTGCCAAAACACTAGGTCTTGGCCATCTAGTGGGAAAATATTGAGATCCAAAGAGAGACAATGCATGCCACCTGGTGAGATCATCGAAAAATGTGTCAAATTTGACAGTTGACCTTGCTCTACCAAATAGTGAATACCTAACTGTTTTTATAGGAAAAATATTATGGTTTGAGACTTTTAAATATGTCTGTGAATGTATTGGGAATCCTTTAAGTATACTTGTATTCAGAGTGGAAATCTAAGATTAGAGGTTCACTTAAAAAAAAGGGTTCCGCCTTGAAAAAAATAATGTTCCAGACAAGTGGCAACTAGAAACAGGTTTGCAGGTCGTCAGAAATCGGCCTTGGCATGAACGTTTTACGTGACTTACGTCCAGCAACACAGAGAAAATCCTAAAATTGTTAATTGTGCGCGTCACTCACGGATAAGCAAGAGGAATCTACTGAAAGAAGAGTGCACATTGTGCTCGGTAGAAGTTACAAGGTTGCTACTGACACCAGTAGAGACTCATCACTCACAGTCACCAATGAGCAAGGCAAGGGAGATCTTGGGAAGGCTGCATAAGCTTTGTGCCCCGCATGAACGTTTCCGAGGTCGCTGGTAGAGACGCGTCACTCTCCAGTGAGCAAAGGATATCTTGAGGAGGCCTCACAACGTTGCAGCCAGTAAAGGATGTACTCTTGATTCTGAAAAAAGTTCCATTAGATCTTGCCGATATACTCGAATGCAAAAGTTGCCTATATACGAGTTGATTAAGAGCACTTGATGTATTAGTTGTTCAGAGTTGGTATCGGCTATCGAGCGCAAACAGCAAGAGCTGTATATACGTTATGGCTGCAAGCCTGCAAGTCAGTGAGAGCGTTTATGAATTAAGAAACCTGTTAATTGTAAACGTCTATAATATGCCACTGTTAGTATATATTATATATATATATATATATATATGGAAATGGAACACTTGCAATTGCAAAGTTGCAAGTTTGAGGTCATGTACAGTGTACAGCTGTGGCTCTGAGAGTCATGTGAAGGCAACAGAACTTACGTAACATACGTTTTTTTTATAGTTTTTCATTTCTCGATGCGTCCTTAATGTGTCGGAATATACCGCGTTTACCCTAGCTAATTCAATTTGAAATATACAGTTTGCAAAGCAACATATTTATTATGAATTTAGAATTTTTTGCAATCCTTTTTTAGTGATTTGTAAATATTATTCAATTATGATGAAAAATCGCTAATAATTTATAATTATAAATTCCTATTATGTATTTCATTATTTTATTAATGGTCTTCAAGTATGATATGATTCTACTTTCTCAGCCAAAAAATAAAGCTTTTCCCATTTTTTTTTGAAGCTGCAAGATTTGAAGATTAATTATCAGTTGAAGGAATTTAGCTAGGGTAAACGCGGTAGGGTAAACGCAGTATATTTCGACATCGTGGGTAATTCTGTCACCTCTCTAGTTTTTCCTTTATCTTAAGCTTTGTTTTAGTTCCATGCGTTCATTGATGGTTGAAATGGTGACGTCATACATTTGCACGTCAAACTACTGCCAAAACACTAGGTCTTGGCCATCTAGCAGGAAATTATTGAGATCCAAAGAGAGACAATGCACGCTACCCAGTGAGATCATCGAAAAATGTGTCAAATTTGACAGTTGACCTTGCTCTACCAAATAGTGAATAACTGTTTGTATAGCCAGACAGGAATAATGGGCAGATTTTTCAGAATACCGTGGGTAAAAAGAGGCTCTTCAAGGGTGAAGTTGGGAAATCGCGGGTGAAATTTTTGTCCTCCCTGGTGCTTCTCGAAAATCGCGGGTGAGATTTTACTGTTCTCGGACGATTTTACAAAATCGCGCGTGAACAGCTGCTCCCTACTGTATCTCAACTTCTCGCGCCAAGCGGCCGAACGTTCAAATCTGAACATATACCTATTTTTCCATAGCTTTATCTATAGCTAACATGATCGATGTCCAATGAACAGTAACCCAGAGGCTACTGTTCAGAGTACCTGGACTTGGCCAGAGAAGTGCTGCAGGTTCGATCCCAGCTCTGTGGGCCATGTGTAATTAACATGATAATAATTTAAATAAGCGTTAGTCGTTATGCATTAATTTTGCTAACCGTATCATTCTTATCAATTAAAACGTAATTTTTGTGTACGTAATAATCATATAAAAATTATGTAAGGAGTGACATTCAGATCTAATATGAACAAGGATTGTCTAATGTGTTTAATCAATCAAAATTTGTATGAGTTGATCAGTAAGACGCGTTTTTACTAATTATAGAAATTTCTAATCGAATGCATTGGTTTTATGTATTGTATTGTATTGGCTTATAAAACAAAGTGAATATTGTTCTCTCAGGTTTTCTGACACGACCACTAGCTGAACATGATTGATGTCCAAACAAATGTGCTAAAACAAAGTTAAATGTTCGCATGTTTGTCATGAGGTTAATTTTAAAATCATAATTCTTAGCATGGATTTTTAATGTTCTGATTTACGCTTCCTTGAAATTCGTAACTCTACTCAAATGAATCATATATTATTATTCGAACCTATTCAAAGATTTTGCTATTGAAGAATGAAGGGTTTGATGTAGCTGCTCGCATGTCCGCAATCCGCATTATGAGAGACTCCGCCCGCCAAGAAGGCAACAGATTCTTGCAAGTGCTGCGTGACTATCTGTGAAAGAAGGTACGACGAATTCAGCACAGCCTTACATGTAATCGATTATTTCTGGTGATGTGCTTTTTAAGGGCTTTTGGCCATTACTGTTGAAATTGTAGCTCTACGAGCATGGTTAAATTTATCCATGCCCACGGGTGAAATTATCCATGGCCATTGGCCACCGGGTGAAATTATCCATGGCCACGGGTGAAATTGTTCAATGTGCACGGGTGATTTTTGCTCTTCTACGGGTGGCTCCTGCCCATTATTCCAGTCCGGTTGTATAGGAAGAATATTATGGTTTGAGACTTTTAAATACGTCTGTGAATATATTAGGAATCCTTTAAGTATACTTGTATTTGCTGATTTCAAGTCGTAAATAAATTAATAGATGATTAAGTTGAGAAATGGATTTAGACACATGAAAACTAATTCCGTCACAACTTGAATTGGACACACATAGATCGTTCCAAGCTGTGTACAAAAATTAAAATTTGCTTAATTAAAAGCTTAATAGTTGTTAACTAAAAGCCTATGTAATTAAGTAGTGTTCAATATTCATTAGTGTTCTAATTCAAAGCCGTGTTGTATTCCAATACAGCTCACACAGCAAACGGAACTCGAACACGTGGATGACAGCATTACGTATCAGTAGAATTTGAAGCGCGGTCGGAATACGCCTCACACACAGTGACGGAATATAGGGATTTGGTAGGTTTGCATTCTGAAGGCTTTTAAATAAATATGGCAACATCTTGTGACATTTCATTGTTGCTGACACATAGTGCAGTGTTTTGAGAGTCACATAAAGCAAACGGAACTTGAGTAACGCATACGGTTATTTTTTTATAGTTTTGCATTTCTCGATGCGTCCTTAATGTGATGGAATATACCGCGTTTATCCTATATTCCAACACATTAAGGACGTAGCAAAAAATGAATGGTTACTGTAAACTGGGGTAACTTTGACTCCCGGGGTAACTTTGACCACTTTTGGTTTTTTAACAAAAACCCCCAAAACTCAAAAACCATTTGACATAGAAAAATTTTGTCAATGGG